TAGGACCCTTGCGCTTCTCTTTCTCATCAGTTGCAGGTGGGGCTTCAGCAACAACATGAACAACATCAGGTTGAGGGCCTTGAGGCGGATCTTGTTGAGGTTGGGAAGCTGTTGCCTCCACATTCAGAACAGCAGACTCAATTTGAGGCCCCTCCATGTCCTGTACTGTTTGAGGTCCCTCCTTGTCCATTCCTAATTGCAAGATGAACGAGGTTCAATTAGCTAATATGATTTTAATTTTGCATAAGTAGATAAATAAGACAGCAAACTCTGTATATGAAATTGAATGCTTGAACACAGCAAAAAAAGTGGCTCAAGCAATTTTACAACGAATTGATTTAATTAACCGCAAGCAATTTCATTGTCATAAACTACAACTCCAATCTATGATTTTCGGGAGAGACAAATTGCAAGCAATGCCTTAAGAGTGAAATGATCAACAACTTCTCCCCGCCAATGAATTAGACCAAACAAAACTCCCCATAATTTTGCAGCAACCAGCAGAAAACTCACCATAATAATCAATCGAAATAGAGCAAAGAAAACTATGCCAATAGCCCAATAGGGATTGATATTTACCTCACCACTGTAATATTGTTGTTGATCTCCTTGCTAGAAAATGGAAATATGTGAGCTTTCCTTTCTTTCTTCTACTCCCCTTCCAATGGCGCTGCAAATCTCGGAAGAAGAAGAAGAAGAAGAAAATAGAGAAGATGAAGAAAAAGAAGGGCGTAAGTTGAACTTATATGAGAGCCCTTCATCTTCAATTCAATGCTCGATAAAGCAGAGTTGGGAATTGGGGGAGGGGGATTGGGAATTGGGGAAGGAGATGAATCGTTAAAGGGGTTGAGTGCGGAACTGCGGCGGGATTGAGTTTTGCGAAGACCTCTGTGGGAATATTAATCGTTCACTAGACACTAGCTGTTGGGTGCCTGGGATTGGGTGCTTCGCGGAGATAAGCCTCTGCGGGAAGATGTTTTGGCGACAAATGCTTAATCAACGGGGCAGAGCGGGCGGAGCAGGGCGGAGCAGGTAAGAAGTTTGCATCCGTATCCACCCCGTTCTAATGGCGGAGCGGGTCGAGATCCGCCCTGTTCAAAAACGGGCCGGATTTTATCCGCTCCATGACAGCTCAGATCGGATAAAATCCACCGGGTCGGATCTGGTTTGCCATCCCTAAATGAGACTTTTGCTTTTAGAAATGGGAAGTTTTCGTGATTGTTATAGGACACTGTAGAGGCGAAAAAAAATTGAATTCATGTATTAGTGAATTAGATTGGTGGATATATGGATCAAATGATTTTTTTTTTAAATAATCAATTATATTGAAAGATCAGGTAGAACATTACACCCTGGAATTTAACCAGGCCCAGAAATTAAAGAAACGATATGAAGTCGGGTACCATGAAAGGGCTTTCCAGCCACCAAATAGGCTACCATATTTCTACTCCGACCAACAAATCATACACTAAAGCCCGGATGAGCAAACATCAGCCGAATGACTTCCTCCAAAACGCCCCCATCGTGCTATCCCGAGCATCCGCCTGGTTAATTTTATCAACAACAACCTTGACATCCCCTTCAAATCTTACATCAGTAAAGCCATGCTCCAAACACCAAAGTACCGCGGCCCGCAGAACCAGGAGCTCGACCACCATAGGATCATCAATGTCAGCAACATGCAATCCACGTGCACAGAGTAGCTCGCTCCCTGGAGACGTAATAACAAAACCCCCAGCCGCGTGAGACCCACAACGGGTAGCACCATCCCACATACAAATTAGAGAGGGAACACCCCCACTACCAACTTGGGTCCCCCGATCACCCAAGGACCTGGTCACACAATCAACTGGTAATCAGCTCCACTCATGGTATTGTTGGTGAAATTGGCGCATTAAGGCGGAGATTCCAAATTGCTTACCCTAAAAAACAATCCAGTTACGGGATTTCCAAATCCACCATAGGATGGTTGCCACTGACATAAAAATGGGCGGGTCCTGAATGAGACCCATAACTCTCTTCAGAAAAAGGGGTAAAGTGTGACGGGGAATCCCTTGCCCAAGATACTCAAGGCCCGAGTGATCCCAAAGAGCCCGCGCCACGAGGCAATAATCAAGAAACAAATGCTACATTGTCTCATTCTGGGCCCAACAAACCGGGCACCGGGGCAACAACGGAATATCTTTTTCAATAAGGGCCTCCGTGGTAGGAGGATACGATGGACGAGATCGGGGCGTAGCGTCAGTGAAGGTCCCCGTGGGAAAGTACTTCCCCTTATAGACTTGAGCAAGGAGCGACTGTGGATCCATGAGAATGCGCCACCCAATTTTGGCCAACAAAGAATGGTTAAAGTGCTAAAACCGTCGAAACCCCATGGCTCCATCATGTTTACTCTGGGACATATTCCGCCAAGACATCCACCTAATCCGTGAATGACCCTCTGAAGCACCTCACCAGAATCGAGCAACATGCCTATCCAGTAATCGACAAAGAGACAACGGAAGTTTAAAGCATGACATGACGTGCAGCGGAAGGGCTAAGGCCAGCGATTTAATCAATGTTTCCTTTGCTGCCAGCGACAGAGTCCATTGCTTCCAATCCTGAAGACGGCTGAGCAACTTCTCTTCCATGAAACGGAAAGTAGCCACTTTAGACTGGGAAATCAACGATGACAAACAAAGATATTTATCCTAAACACCCACCGCCCCAACACCAAGAATCTTGGCAGGGAACTCCTAATCCGGCAGGGAAATATTCTTACTAAAGCATACAACCGACTTAGCCAGATTCACCCGTTGGCCATTAAACTCCTCGTACTCGTTCAAAACGTCAATTAAATTTTCACATTCCGGGACCGAGCCCCTGAGGAACAAATATGAATCATCTGCAAAGAACATATGAGAGATTCAAGGTGCGCGAGGGGCAACCTTCACCCCTCCAAGTTTCTTAGCCGCAATAGCTTTCCGAAGAAGTGTAGCAAATCCCTCCGTAAAAAGGACAAAGAGTAAAGAAGAAAGCGGATCGCCCTGCCGGAGGCCGCGTGAGGTCGAGAAGAAACCCGATGCAGTGCCATTCATCATAACCGAAAAGGTTGCCGATCATAAACACTCGTGAATCTAGCCACACCAAGTAGAGTTGAAACATAATTTTTCTAACACCGGAAGAAGAAACGGCCACTCGACTCTATCATAGGCATTTTCCATGTCAACCTTTAGATCCATGTACCCTTTATTGCCTCGCGTTTTAATTTTCAAATAGTGCATCAACTCGTGCTCAAGCAACACGTTTTTAACAATCTGACTGTCACGAATGAAAGCATTTTGCCCTTCCGAAATTATTTGAGGGAGAAACCAGGCCAACCTCTCCAACATGATCTTGGAAATTATTTTATAGACGAACTGGCATAAGCTAATCGGGCGTAGCTGTCTCATTTCATCGACATTATCAACCTTGGGAATCAAAGTCAACCAGGTATGATTAAAGCTACGGAGGAGTCTGCTCGTAGAAAAAAAATGAACAGACCGCTGCAATCACTGAACCACCAACAATATCCCAGTAGGATTTGAATAACTTCCTAGTGAAACCATCAGAACCCGGGACTTGCTTCGATCCCATGGAGAAGACCGTGGCACGAACTTCCTCATGAAGGACTTCAGCTGTCAGGCTAGCATTCATTTCTACATTCACACGCTAATCAATGGGGAGACTCGTAACCCGTTCGGCCATGTTAAAGACCGAGTTCTCTGACGTGAAGATATTCTTATAGAACTCATTGGCAATACCGGCCATATCTTTCTCCTCAGTAACCCATTCTCTAGTAACACTCCGAAGCCCAACCACAAAGTTTTGTTTTCGGTGGGCTCGGGTGACCGTATGGAAATACGAGGTATTCTTATCCCCTCTCTTTAGCCAGTGGACTCTCTATTTTTGTTGCCAATACACATATTTCGCCTCCCAATGCCTATTCAGCTCTGTCGCGAACACCCTCACCACATCACAGTTAATTGAGTGCTCTATTTTGAGACGGTCAATTTCAGCTTGGAGTGTTTTAATATTACGCAGGAAATTAGTAGTCCCCGCCCTACTCCAATCATAGAGAAAGTGTCGAACCTTCTTGATCCTCTCCCACAGCTGATACATTGGGGTCCCATGGATCTCCTCCTGCCAAACATACGTCACCATATCCTTGACCTCCGGATTCTCTGCCCAGCGGCCATCAAATCTAAAGAGAGGACGACTAGCTCGAATATAGGGCTTATCAGACAGGAGCAACGCTCTATGATAAGAACCTTGATCAGTGAAATGCTTGACTAAAGTATCCGGATACCAGTCAATCCACGATTGGGAGCAAAGAGCCTTATCCAACCTCTCACGAATATATGCAAAGCCCATACGTTTATTCGTCCAAGTGAAAGGATCACCCTGGTAACCAAGATCGTGGAGACCAAGGTTATGCACAAAATTTCCGAGATCTATCGAGTGGGCAGCATTCCACGGATTACCACCATCTTTTCCACTAGCATGAAGCATAGCATTAAGTCACCAATCACCACAAAAGGGGAATTGAGTGCATCACAAATGTCATGCAATTGACCCAATTGGTAGGCACGAACAGCTTCAATACAACTAATGTACATACACCACCACATACGAAGATGCATTTTCATTAATATGAACACAAATACAAAAATTCAAATGATAAAACACTGAAGCATCAACTCCGGGGGACCAAGCTACCACTAGACCACCGGATGCATTAAGAGCATTCTAAAAAGAAGAAAGCAGCGAGACAACTCAAACCCTAACCCCTACATTCTTTGGGAAACAACTCTCCGGCTCGATCTTGTTTATGAAAAGAAAACAAGCTCCGGTTTATTGGAATGAACTAATCCTACAGCAGTTTGGAATTTGAGTGACGGTCCAATTCCCCTCACATTCCCTGCCAAAAGCCTCATTTATTCGAACGGGGGGCTGGCTTCCTCCACCTAGTCTGTAGTAACCTACACTTCTACAAATTGCTTCTTTTGAGTGGGGTAATCCCCAATGTCCCCATCCACCTCTTGCAACATTCTTTTCCTCCCTCCAAACCATGAATCAACCAGGTTGGACCCATATTCATTCAATTTGGCAACCATTTCTTGCTCATCTTCATGCAGCTTCGCATCGAGCTCCAATGAACCAAGGTTTGTATCAAGGCAAAACGAAGAACCCTCACCATCCTTGTTAATGAGCATGCCTGTTTCAAACGCCCTGACCACTTGTCGAACATGGCCAGCATGAGCTTGGGTATCAGCAGCCACCGTAGAAAGGGGGGCACGGCTCTTCAGTTCAAACTGAAGTCCTTCACCATCGGACTTCGAGTCCTCCAAACCCACCACCCCTTCGTCAAAATAGGTATCCCCACACTTTACCATGATATGCAGGGAACACCCCACTGTCCCGTCCCGGTCGAGCGCCATTCTTCCTCAGCCTTCGCCCCACGTCAGCTCCACGGGATGAGGTACTACTAGTCTGTTGGTGACTCAGCCCCCGAGCTAGATCCTAGGGGACTTTGCCGTGAGGATCCCCTCGGGCTCCGTCGCCATAGATCAGCTCTCTTTGTTCCCGTAGAGGGAGCTTTAAAGTTCCCCATCAGTTGAGTCCGTCTCTGGTATCCCATATTTTTGTCCGTCCTAGCCACATCCCGTATCTCTTGTTTTCGAGCATGTCCCGCTCGACTAAGCTCCTCACTATGCTCCCTTAAATTTTGGTATACCTACACAGAATTAGGCGCCCCACGGAATGGGGGGTGCTCCTCCTCCTCGTCATAAATTCTTGCGCCCAACTTTTTAGTAATCATCTGAGGACTAAACCTCTCCTTCCGATTTGGAGGGTCAAAATAGCAGGCACGTTGCATGTGAACCACCCTCCCACAGTGAAACAAAAGAGTCCATGCTCGGACATGGAGAATTCTGTCTTTTATTATCCATGGTGATCGACGCATGATCCATTTTGTGGACTCCTCATTAGGCAGGATAAAATCAAAAAGACCATGTTTAGTCTATATTACTTTGAATTGTCCCTTCCTCTGCCAAGGCGTGTCCATCCCCTCTCTCAGCTCCATGGTCATGAAGTGAGTCTCAGAGAAGACGCGACCAAGAAGTGATCGTGAACTGCGGAATTTCAGTGATTGGACCTCCTCCAAAGAGAACTGGGCCACTTGATCCTCGGTAACCCGCGCCATAATCTCCGCCTGCAAGGATAGGGGAGCACAAGGAATGGTGAGTTGCAGGTCTGGTGGACGGTCAGAGCAAGGTTCCAAGCCCGTCCACTTTGGATTGAGGCGTTGGGGACAGACAGGGATGTTCTAACTAAGAACACTCCGAACACGAGTAAAAAATTGCAGGTTTATACTGCAAAGGCAGGTACACAAACCCTTACCTAAGTTGGGAATTCACTTTTGGATGCGTAGTCTCCTCTCCTGGACCGATAGCAACGTCCTTTGAATATTCAAGGTGAAGGGAACGTGTTGAGAGACAGATATTAAATAGGGAGAGGAGAGCCACCCCAATCCAGTAGGATAATTCCAAACGTGGTCAAGAGTTAGAGTTTGGGTCGGGGTTCGGTTCTCCGCTATCCCAACTGAATTTTTTTTGGATACTGCAGAGGGAAATCCCCCCTTGCCAGGGCGAAGAATTCGGGATCCGAACCTTCCCCAATTCCCTAAAGGTACCAATCTGCCGCTCCTGAAACCTAGGTCAGGCCATCAGAGAAACCACGAGCAAAAATGCCCGTTCAAGAGTCCATAGTAGACGACAGCCTAAAGCCTTCTTCAGAGGAGATAATGGTATTCAGGGCCTTATTCGTACCGCAGAAGGCACAGGTAACCCCACCGATTGAGGACACTTGTCCATGGAGCTATCCAAGCTCATATCAATTTTTCTCAGAGGGACAAAATGGCTTGTGGCACCCCTCATCATCTTCCAGATTTGAAGATGAGGGGAGTTTAAATCGCCAAGCCTGAGATGGCAACATTTGTTGCTGTTTGTTATTTCTAGATGAGGACAACATCTTCAGTTTCCTCTTTTTATGATAGGCCACTAGATCATTTCCAAGACCTTCTTTTTCATGGAAACAATAGGGGGGATGCGCCATGTACATCCCGGATCGATATACGACTGTATCCTCAGCGAGAAAAACTAGATGAGCAGAATTGGATTTTGCACCTTTGACTTCCAAACAAACGATCAAAAAAAAAAGTTCACACCTATTTGAACAAATTTCAAACAAGGGTGTTCAATGTTTTGATGAACTACGAGGCAAATCTGCATTAAATTAGCCCTACTCCTATGGAGGTTCAGTGAGAGCTCCAAAAACTACGACTATGGCTAAAATCTGCGAACCCTTTCTCTGTCATCTTCACCTCCTATTCATAGCCACCAGAAGTAGCTGCCACAAGAAACTGCTCTGCTGACGTGGAGTGACGGTTACCCTCTCAACTGCTATGACGGTTACCCTGATGTTGGATGTAGACCCAATCTTGGCCCCTTTTCTTGAGACCTCACTCCATGCTCTTAGTATCTCCTCCATAGCTTTGCTTGTCTATAGACAAAAAAGGCTAAGGCATGAAAGCATACTATGTGCCACATATGGGTGGGTACTCGAATCACCTGAGTCAAAATGGCAAAAATACTTCACCATTACGAGAGTAGGGAGACTATGTGCTCACATAACCTTCCTTGACCACCTCATGAGGGTGGTGTCTTGGTAGCCCCCTGGTAACCTCATGGGGGCAATGTTGACCGCGCCCCTTGGCCATACCATGGGGGCATATGTTGGTGACCCCCTGACCATACCACAAGGGGTGGATATTAATCACCACCCTGATCATACCATGGAGATTGCATGCTCATGGCATGGTGTGTAGATGGCCACCCCCTGATCATCTCATGGGGGGTTCTCCATGCCGATCACCCTCGTGTCATATCATGGCGCCTCCTTTCCTCTCCATACTTAGTCATATTTCACACCCCATGGGGTGGTGATCCCACGCTACTCCATGAAAACTCCATGGGGGATGGTAATATGACCCCCTCACTACGTCCTGGGGGTGGTGAGATGATGGTCACCCCCCTTACCACCCTTGCCATGTACTGGGGGTGGTATGATGGTGGCCACCTCCCTTGGTACCTCCTGCGGGTGTGGTATGATGACCACCCCCTCTGCATGTCATGGGGGTGGCTCCCATACTTAGCAAAATTTGGGGATGCATGGACCTCCTAGGGGTGTGGTATGATGGCCACCCCCCTCTGCATGTCATGGGGGGTGGCTCCCATACTTAACCAAATTTGGGGATGCATGGCGCGCATGGTGGCACGGAGTAATGGGCCCAAAAACCCAATCCTCATGGCCCACTCAACTGATTTAAACTGATATGATTAAGTTGGCCTTATAAAGCCATTTAATTTCTTATTTTTAACCAATGTGGTACAATGTTAATTTTTATGGATAAACAAATGCCCCAACTACTTAGTTCATAAGAATTATGGACTAATTAGTTAACATGTAATACAGAACTCTCATCGTCCAAGCCAAATACAGATCTGCCACTATCTCCCTTGGCCACAAACCAGTGTTGGTCTCGAACCACAAAAACATATGTATACAAATAAATAAAAACCCCTCTCCTCTACGGCTACTGCTAGCAAAATGCAGTGCATGCAAACTTCAATTATTGTTTCCATTGAACAGAAACATTGTCATGTAATTAATTTGGCCTATGGCCAATCAAGCCTTGCAATTCAATTTCTTAACCCTTCATGAAATCACCAAGAAAAAATGAGGACCTAATGCATCCACGAATCACAGTTTGGCCAGAGGAAGAAACCAATCGTGTTGCTCTGATTGTTCTCTAGACTTCGCACATTGAACTTCGACACCAAGGCCAGAAAATACTGGATTTTTTTATATTGATTTTAGATAATCAAAGTAACAATAAGTACTTGCCATGTTTGGCAAGGACTCTTAATTTCCTTCTCCTTGTAACACTCTAAATCAAATCTTTTCCTTAACTGAAAAGATTTACTAGCTCCATCTTCTAGCTCTATAAATAGAGACTAGTATCAACCTCCAATTTTCACCATTCATCAACAACCCACACTCCAGAGAACAACTCCTTCAAACCCGTGTGACACACAAGTTTTCCAAGTAAACAATCATTACTTTTGCTCTTTTATGGCATATGACCAATTTATCGTTTGGCCCTGCATTTACATTGTCATAGGATATTATTTTTTTTCTTGTAGATGGCCGCCAAATGCATGTATTATAGATTTTTTTTTATGCTTGGCCTCCCAAATATATATATATATATCATACATGTTTTTTTTAATATACATATGACCATTCATATGCTCATATATTTGTATATCATTATTATTGGTTTTTTTTTTTTTTGAATGGCCTCCAATATGCATATATTTATATTATCATTATTTTTGTTGGCCACTTTTTTTTGTACACTCATAGTCGTAGTACCACCCCCTAACTCCGAGCTCGTAATGATGTAGGATGGCTAACTCCGAGCCAAACAAGCAAGAGATACAAAAAGCAACTAGCAAATACCAGAAGGAGTACGTGGCACTATGTAAGAAACCAGGGTTGAAGATGGACTTTTTGTAAGTGAAAGAAAATGGGGAGGGTTGGCTTAGCCCTTACGTCATTGATGAGAATACCCTCTTTGCTGCTACACTTGACCAATATCCACTTGAGGGTAGCTTCCCTCTCTACCTCGAAGAAGAAATACTGCCTACCATGTTCTTTCGCCCCACCAAAAGCAAAAAACCAGTGTCCTCGTGGCCAAATAGTGATCCCATCTTCCTCAAGTGGTATAAGAGGTTGAAGGTTGACACGGCCACTAAGGCACAATGGATGGCATCTGGCATTACCCATCTATTGGCCCTTTGCGCTGCGATTCCGGATCCAGATGTTCAGCTATTAAAAGCTGCCTTTTGCTTCTGGTCTGTAGGCTCCAACTGCTTTGTCTTCCCCCCGAGTGCGATGACTATCACCCTAATGGACTTAGCCGCCCTCACTGGTTTGTCTTTAGGGGCCAAAGCACCAACAGACCTCACCCCCCTTGATGAGCAAACTCCTATTTTGACACAATCCTTCACGAGTTTGCACCAGTAATACTTGCTCGCTGATGTAGGGGCAGCTATCACCCAGAAGGAGAGGGTGGCTTTTATCCACTACTGGTTATACAGGTTCATTATCTGCCCGACTCATGGATGTCCCCGTAGGTCTCTATCTCATATCTCGTACCAACTTTCTGATGGGATTCCTCGTGCTGATTTTCTGGAAACCATCTTGGCACATCTCTACCACAGCATGCACACCCTCATTCATCAAGTCAAGAAGGGTGTAACTCCTGCTGGCAGCGGACCCCTATGGTTAGTGCTCCTTTGGATTTATGCTTATT